GGACTTTCCAACAGCATTGCTTTGCCCCTGAGCATCTTTTGGTAAACGCTCATGTACAGTCTTGGGAGAAGTGTGTGCCTATCATGAACACCTCGTTCTCCCACCTTCCTGGAAAAGTGGCAGATCCAAGACGTGACCCCACTGGGTGAGCTGATGTCTCCCCCAACCAGTCGTGGTTGTGTGTTTGTGTGTGTTCCTGTGCATGCTCGTGTGTGTGTGTGTGTGTGTGTGTGTGTGTGTGCGTGCCTAGAGAGGGTGAGAGGGTGCATCCGTGTTTCTTTGTGTTTCTTCCTGGGCGGCCACCATGGCCAGGCGACTGAGGGCCCGGAGTGCGCCCATCTCCTCCCCCACGCTCCGGGCGTCTCTGGTAATGGCATCTGGCTCGTATGCAGATCGATCTCTACTTGGTGCTGACATCAGGCCATTTGTGGCACCTCAGCGCATTTCTCGGTTGCAAATGAGAGTTTCTTAGCGCCAGGCTCGCTTGGGCTGTCACAGCTGGTGATGAATTCTCTGCATCCAGTGTGTGCTGCTAAGGTGAGCTCAGAGGAAGAGCGGGAAGGAGCGGAGGACAGGACCAGTGGCTCTCGGCCCAGCAGCCACCGTGGGGAGGCAGAGGCAGGTGGCCCCCGTCCGGGCTTGGGAATGTGGCCGAGAGGAGAGAAGTCAGCGCCTCGGATGCCATTCTGGGTTCTCGTGTTTCGTCCGGAGAAGCCACATGGCCAGTCCCCGTCCTCCATTGCTCCGTCCCTGGCATCATAGCAGGTATTCTGGGCCCCCTCCTCCAGGAAGGCTGTGCCTTATCCATTAGAGAGGGTCCCGGTAGCCGTGGGGTATATCAGTTATGGACCAAATTCATTCAGGTAGGATGTCAATAGTCGTTTTTGTTCTGAAATAGTTTTGTTCCCAAATACCTTTTGCTTTGATTTGTGTTTGGAAGTCCAGGTTTTTTTTAATCTGGGAAACCAGCTGCACGTTATCTTAATTTTATATTCTGTTAGCTGCCTCCTCCCTGAGGCCCCGCGATGAGACTGCCACCAGCTTGGGCTTCCTCTTGGTGGAATTAAATCTGAGCCCAGGTCTCACCTCCAGCCTCTGCAGGCCACAGGATCGCCTGTAGGACTGGGTGCAAATGTAAACACTCTTCCGTTGGCGAGGTTTGTAGAGCTAATAGGGACACACTAGGTTTTGCAGGATTCCCCTTCCCACCCCTGCCAGGCCTCCTGGGCGTTTCCAGCATCAGCATTTAGAAGCGAGCGTGTCTGTTACAACGGGGACTTTGCATCGGAGCGTGAAGGCAGAAGTTGGGGTGCAGAAGAAAAATAAAAATGAATCTTATTTCTCATGAACTATTCTCGCCACCCCAGTGCGCCGGCTAATAAGACCATCCTTGAGGTTCCCTGCTCCCGCCCCAGAGATAGATAAACACGCCAAGGTGGGGTTTCCTGCTTAATATGCACCCGCAGTCAGGACGCGGGAAGGAATTGCTCCCCAGGGTTAAGGCGCCAGTAAGCGAGGTCAGCTGTTTCCCAAGACGGAGCAGCCTCCCAGCGGCTTCCATTAAAGCTGGCGCCGTGGAGCTAAAGCAGCCGGAGTGATTTACGGGAAACCCCGTTCCGTGGGGCTTGCTCGCCTTTCTGATTGCGGAGGTGTGAGCCGCAGGGGCAGCAGAGCCTGGGCCAGGGGCAGCAGAGCCTGGGCCAGGGGCAGCAGAGCCTGGGCCAGGGGCAGCAGAGCCTGGGCCAGGGGCAGCAGAGCCTGGGCCAGGGGCAGCAGAGCCTGGGCCAGGGGCAGCAGAGCCTGGGCCATGTTGCGAAGCACCTCCGGAGAGAGGGATTCTTCCGCCTGTGTCCGTGATGGGCACATGTATTCCAGAAAGGGCTGGTGGTCCTCTAACTTGAAAACTGGATGCCACGGGGTCCTGAATGTGGCAAGCAGTAGGGGGTCATTGCTGGGATATCCTGAGGGAGGGTGAGCCGCTCTTTCCGTGTTCCTGTGTCTCGGGGGCAGGGGAAGGAAGTGGTTATGGGAATATTGGACCTCAGTGTTAACAAGGGGTGGGGGGTCCTGGGCATGCTGGGACAGTTGGTCGCCCAATCTGGGGCAGGCGTGTGTGTGTGTGTGTGTGTGTGTGTGTGTAGAGCGGGAGTGGAAAAAAAGGCAGCCGAAGAGATTGATTTTATGTATTCGTTTTTAATAGAAAGTCTTCTATATCCTCCTTTACCAGGCCAACTAGCATAATTAAAATGCCAGTTTTGATACCGGCTTGGACTAATTCCTGCCTCTACCATCTGTGAGTTCCCTGTACCCTCTGGCATCGTGTGCACTGGTCTGAGAAAACAAAACTTTTTCAGATGTCTCCCGTTCGAGTTCTTTCATCTCAGACACGAATCAAAAGGCGTCTCCCAGAATCTTCTGGTCCACGTAGAATGCCTTGCCGGTTCCTTCCTAATGAGACGCCACAGGGCTCATTTTCTTGACTAATGGCTTTCTTTGGGGGCACCCCTTATTGTTATTTTAATGAGATTGGAGCATGCCTAAATAATGGTAATAGTGGGGCCTTAGGAGCGGGGTCGCGAAACTCCTTCGTGCCTCGTACTCTGCCTCAGACGCTGACTGCCTCCCCGAGCTTCGGCATCTACTTGTCTCCCACCAGGTCGATCCTAAGACATGAGTTTTTTCCCCTTGTACCAGCACCTGACTCTCTGCATCGTGACTCTGTACTTAAGAAACCTCTCTCAGGTTTTCTTAAAAGCCCGTACCACTCGGCGAACACACACATAGGCCCACATAGCTGGCCATTTACTTATTGACTTATCTGTCTCTCTAGTAAACACACACATGTGAAAAAGCACGACTAGGACAGACAGGTGTCAAAATACTAGCAGCTGATGGTCTTTGAGTGGTAGGATTATGAATGTTGTACATTGTGTATTTCATGCTTGTTTCTTTTCTCAGTATTTCATCACATGTAGATTGCAAATATTCTTTTTGAAAATATTATATAAGCATATCTTTTATAATCAGGAAAGATCAAAGAATTAAGGGATTTTCTTTGGGGTAAAAGAAATTTGATTGCTCTTTCCCATCTACCCATTATGGCACCAGTATACATGTTCTTGGTTGGGAAGGGAGACTAAGCTCCTGTCATTAGGACACGGAATTAATTCTGTTTTTGATTCTGATCATACTACAGAGGCTGGGCCCCAGAAAGAGAGCAAAGAAAGAACTGTAAACGAAAGAATTCCCACCTCCCCCGAGTGTTCCCCTTCCAATCCCTGACCAAGAGCAGGAGAAATGTGCTGGGCAGGGAGAGGGGGTGGGAGGAGCTGCTTGACTCCTTTGGGAGATGGAGCTTTGGAGTTCCAAGCAATTATTCTTGGGCCCCTGATGGAGGCGGAATGCCCTTGGCATTTCCCAGGATGACCCTTTGTGCTCTTGGTATCCAGACCTGCTCCTTAGTGAAGTGTGGGGAAAAAAAATAATAAAAACTATCCTTGTGCAGAGGTAACTGGTGAGAGCTGCTATGAATTCAGCTCCTGGCTTTCCAGGGGAGATTGGAGCATCATGTGGGTGAGCCAGTGGGAGAAAAAAAAAAAAAAAAAAAAGCTAAGTAGATGAGAAGGACGGAGAAAAAGGAGCCCAGATTCAGAGGTTCAGAAGCCTGTGTTTCTCAGTCATAACCCAGATGCCTGCTTTTCTCTCTCGCATCTCTGCTTTCTTATGAAGGAAACGTGAACACAGGTTTCCAGCACCTAGGTGTCAAGCATGTGCCTCGGTACCATGGAATTTTCTAGAGCCCAAGCTGTGGTCCCTCCCAAATGGCAAGAATATTAACTGCCCCATGTACCCTAAGTATTTAAGGGAATCAAATGAGTGGAGAGTACAGTGGAAAATGATTTACCAGGAATGCCTAACACCTGGTCTGTTCACCATTAACATTTTCAGAGGTGAGGTATATTAACTTCAAAGGAACACGACAACTAGGGGGGATAAAGGCATTTTAGCACACTTCTGTTTTGATGCTTTAAAATACATAAACATGAATTATGTATCATGAGTTGACCACTCTAACAAATCATTCTTCAGCTATTTTAATGGTGGGATATTTTCAGCTAGGGGTGTTCGTTAAAATAAATCCTTTAGAACAATCCCATTGTTTGGATGCTTCTGGATTTGGAGTCTTGGAAAAAATGATCTGTTGGCTCACAACCTCTCTAGATGTATTTATGCAGAGCTGCCCTTGTCCACCTCCATTTCACCTGTTTGAGTCATCTGAGTTACCTTCTGTACTTTTCAAGGCCCACCTCAAAGAGTACCTTTTCCCTGATGCTTTCCCTGATGTTCCACCAAGACGGGAGGCAATAGCCTTCCCTGAACTGCCATAACAGCGGAACTGTACCATTTATTAGGCTCTGCCTTGAAATATAGTTCATTCATATGCATGTCTTATCCCCCTCCTTGAGGACATGAACTGTCTCTCACTCATCATTGTATGCCTAGGAGCAACTAGTACAGAACCTTCCACAGAACAAGTGCCTGGAATCGTGTAACCTACGGAACAGCAGGGAAAGGCCTTAGAAAGCATTTGGACACCCTTTTTATTTTTCTAAAGGAGAACCAAAGGCCAGTGAGGTGGACATGCTTCGCCAGAGTCAACAGCTAGTCCTTGCCAGACTCAGAACTAGAACTTGGGTCCCTTGACCTGTCATGCCTCTAGAGCATACACAATGATCATCCGACAGCTTGGATTGACTCAGAGTATCTTTGAGAAGTGGGAGGTATTAACCTTGGGTCCAAAGGCTCACTGGAAGGACCCATACTCATCTGAGGGGCGGAGGGAGTATAATCAACCACAAGAACAGCTGCCCAGCCGAGAAGTGTCCCCATGTGCCAGGCACTGTGGTAGGCCCATTACACAAGTTGCCTTGTTGTCATTGTCTGCTCAAAATGGCCACCCAATCTCAGAGAACTGACTTCTCTCCCTTTTTCCCTTCTAGGCTAATGGAGGTTGGCAGGATGCTACTACCCCTTCATCAGTGACCTCCCCTACAGAAGGCCCTGGCAGTGTTCACTCTGATACCTCCAACTGATCTCCCAGCAATCGCATCCCGGCTGACCCTGTGCCCCAGTCGGGACAGGGCCAGGAGGGAGGGTTTCTCTCCCGACGCTGAAGCGGTCAGACTGGAGGTCGAAGCAATCAGCAAACACAATAAGAGTCTCCTTCTCTTCTCTTCTTTGGGATGCTATTTCAGCCAATCTGGACACTTCTTTATACTCTCTTCCCTTTTTTTTCTGGGTAGAAGCCACCCTCCCTGCCTCCAGCTGTCAGCCTGGTGTCCGCCATCTTTCCTGTCCCCTCCCTCCTCTGTCCTAGACTCCCTGGGTCCCTGCCCTCTATGACATCACGGAAGGATATTTTCAACAATTAGAGGAATTTAAAGAGGAAAGAAAATAATAAATGTGTTTGTATGTTTTCATGCTGGTGGTTTGAGGAGCCAAATTTACCTCACTCGGATCCCTCGCCCCCTCTGTTAACAGGCAGCCCTTCTCTTGTTTCTCTTCTTACTCTCACTACCTCTTAGCAGGAATGCACCACATTGTCCCACTCATTCCAGGCCCCCTGCCCCCTCTTGCTCTTCCCTCCCTGGGCTGGTTCTGCTTAGAACACTTCCTCCTCTTCCTTCCCAGCCCCAGCTGTGCCCCGGGGACTGCCATAGCTGGGTTTCTAAAGGTGCCATGTTTTCTAGTCTCAGCTCCACTAGGTGGATTCCACGGCAGGAAGTCTAGCCTCAGGAGAGGACGTAAGCAACAAGAAGGGCAGAATTCTTGGAGGCTTCCTCCTTCTCCTAACAGCTCTTGGTTTCAGAGGCACAGTCTTTGGAGACCATGCAACACCTAGTAAGCAATGTCCAAAACCTACTGCAAAGCCAGATCTGAGTGGGCACGGTGATGAACCACTAAGGAGTAGAAAGTTATTAATCTGCAGCCCTTCAACTAATCCTACACACACACACACACACACACATGCACACACACACTCAGGCACATGTCAGCACATGCACGGCCTCACACATTCATTTTCTCCCATTCACTCATGTGCCACATGCAAAGACCCACATTAATAACCAGCAATTTGCCTTGTGAGCCCAGGAGAGGGAATTAGCAACTCTGAGTGAAGGTCACTGGTGCAGAGACACAGTTTGTGCTGGGGCTTCTGGGACCATGCCCACACACCAGAACGACATCCACAGGACTCCATCATAATGGAGGCTGTTCCTATTCCTGCCACCTCTGGAGCGCTCAGGGAGCCACACCTAGTACTTACGATGTCTGTAATGGATTTGGGTCTATTCTGTTTTTTGGTTTTCTATGGGGGCATTGCATTAATTATTCAAAGCGTTAACATGGCACCACGTTCTTGTTCCAGAAGGGTTGGAGAAGATCACGGCTTAGGCAGATTTTGCTAGCTTCATTTGAAGATCTGGGAGCGATGGGTTTCGAAAGGGGGAAGTAATGTTTTGAGTGAAATTGTCACAGTGACTTTCATTTCCTTGGAATATCCGAGAGGAGAGTACTAGAGAGCCGTTTTGTAGTGTCACCTGAGCTTACTGTCCTCATGCACAGCTGCCCCAGTGAAGAAGATGGTGGCTCTGTAACCCAACTATGATGGGAGGTGGTCACATCTCTCCGTGCCTCATTTTGTTCATCTGTAAAATGAGGATTATGATGCCTGGCTTACCAAGAGGCTGGTGAGAGACTGAAGGAATTGGTTTCATTCATATCCCATCCGTAAATGGGAAGTCAGGGGAAGTGTCATCCCTGAGACAAATGGGTTTGTGCCATGGCGGGGCAACATAATGGTTTTCCTGTTCCAGCTTCAGGTTACCATCAATACCCTGATGTCATTGCTGTGATGACAAAGAGAAGAAGGGGTATTACTGTTGCTTTTTTGTTTGTTTTAGTCAGTTTGGTTTCATAGACTAGAGCTAAGCCTCCACACTAGAAAAATAGGACCCGGTTCTCTTAGTTTGTACTTGAATCCAGTATGTGGCCTTGTAAGTGCTTAGCCCCCTGTCCCATCTACTCTGCTTGAGAGGCCTGTGGGTGAGAGAGAGGACGCTGAGGGGGAAGGGTGGCCCGCTAACAAGGTCATGGAAATGGTGCATGGCGCTATAGTAATGAACAGAAATTGCTCCTGTGTATATGCTGGGGAGAGGGGATACCTAAGAAAACAGAAGGTGTGTGAATTTGAAGGAAAGGCAAAAAGTAAGTCTTTGGCAAGATGGAATTATGCCTTGATGATGAAGAGCAGTGGAGAGGCTGTGTCTACTGACCTGTGCCCCCAATCACAGCAGAGCTCAGTAGAGGGGCTTCCTGGCAGGATCCATCTTGTGACAACTCTATAGTCGTAGAAGCAGTGGAGAACCTTGCTCAGTGTCAGGGGCACACAGGAGCACGGCTGGATCACATGCCTGACCACACAAAGTACAGAAGAGACCTGGAACGGTTCTCTTGGCAACAGGAAGAAGGATTCCAGATTTGGGTTGAATGGTTGCCATTTTAAGTTGATGAAACAGATCAGAGCAGAGCTACATTTGCACAGACAGTTTCTCTCCTCGAAGGAGTTTGCACGGATTCTCACCTCGCCCAGCATCTTCCCTCCCCACTCATACCTTTCTGTTCCAGTTTCCCGCCCACCCCCCCCATGCCCACCATCACGTCCAACATGGCAGCCACCAGATCCCCCTGACAGTAAGCAAAGCATGGGAACTCTGGCAGCAGAAGGAAGGGGATGGAAAGAGCGTGCCTCTGGAAATACAACTCCCTGGGAATTCCTATTCAGTCAATCCTACAGATACCAAAATGTACCCCAGGCCTCCTGCATTTTCTAATGGGAGTGGGAACTCCCCGTTGTCCCTGGCAGCCGATTTCCCCTGAGTAATACTAGCCCTTGGGATTGCCCACCTTGTAACTCTCCATCTCATCCTCCTTTTCACCCCTAACTCTTCCCCCTGGCGTGGAACCGATGCCTGTGCAGTACTTCTGCCAAGTGGCACCTTCCTTACATTGACTTTCTTTATTTTTTTTCTTTTTTTAAATTTTGCTGTGGTGGTGGTTCTTTATTTGCTGGTTGCCTTCTCTCACATACCTTCCCCCCCCCAACCTTTTCCTTCTGAGTTTTATTTTTCTGCCCAGAAAAACCTGACTTCGATACCAAAAAAGATGAAACTACAGAAACTCAAATTTAAAAAAAACTTAAAAAAATACAAAAAAATACTCAACAATTCTTTCAGCTTTATTAACATTTTCCATTGTTTCTTGCGACTTGTGTCTCGTTCTTTGTAGTATTGATGATGAACATTTGATAATGAATGTTCTTGTATATTCAGATAAAGAAAAAAAAAAACCAAAAAAGCGGTCTGAATTTAATAGTGTTTATAATAAAAATTTTAAAAATGACCCTCATAGCACGCAAAACAGGATGGGGGGGCTCCCCCTCTTCTTTCTGTGAAAATACACATCATTCCTGCGTTCGTTTTTAACACCAAACTACCTACATGAATCATTTCCCCATTTTTCTTTTATTTTCTTGCATTTGTGAATTAGTTCAAGAATGCTAGAAAAGTGTCGAGTTGTGCACATTCATTTCCTGTTTCACAATGTTTAAAAGTGACGGTAATTCATTTTGTAAACTAAAAAAAAAAAAAGGTTGGGATAGTGAGCATAATAGGTACAACCTAACACATTATGTTTATTAACTTTGAGACCCAGAAATAAATTCTTTTCTTTCTTTATTTCTGCTCTTTAAAATATAAAAAAAAATTATGTTTTGTGTTACTTTGGGTTGTTTTATTGGGGGGGCTTTTTTTTTTAATTGTCAGGATTATGATCTTGCTGTTTTTATTCCTTACGTAATGTATATGAGGTGATGTGAAAAGATGACATTTGTAGAGTAGGTGGGTTTCCTTGTACTTCTGCTTTGCTCCAGAATTCAGTTGACTTCAGAGACAAAGATGAAGCCCGAGCGGATGGCCCATCACTCACCTGCATTTCCAGAGTGTGTGGCAGTTCCGCAGTCCCTGAGAAAAAAAAAAAAAAAACACAGGGACCTGGGTTCTCCTTTTGGCCCTTTAAAAATTCAAGGAACTGTCCCGGGAGACCTTTGATATGGTAGAAGAGACTTTTTGCCTTTGTTGACCATGAACGTCATGACGAAGTGCTTTCTTTTCTTTCTTCTTGTTTAATAACAACATTCCGGGAGCCCTCTTACAATGAGAGAGGATTTTTTTTTCTTCCAGAAGCATCCCACAGATGTCCTAGTGTCATGGGGCATGGGCTCCATAGACTAGATCCTGGAGGCCGTCCCTGGGGTCAGTCGGCCTGCTGAGCCCTTGAGCCCCGATGTTGGATGAAGAGTTGAGAAACTGAGCCTGACTCGGGGCTCTCCTTTTAATGCTGCGAGGTGAAGTTTGATGCCTTGACAGCATACGTCTTAATACCCTCGGGCTGCTGAAAAGCCAATGGTTAAACCGGCTTGATTTGGAATGTTTTTATTAGTCATGGGAGAAAAGAAAGCAGTATTTTCTGGAAGAAACTTACCTTAAACATCTTTCATTAAACAAAAGATGGAAGTGTCCAGAAAGCACCTAGAACATAAGCAGGAGAAGCGAAGGGGAAGATGCAGGACTGTGGGACAGCGCGTCGCAGGTGTTTCTGCCCAGACACCTGTCCGCCTGTTCCTGAGTCAACAAAACAGTGACGAGCTTTTCACATCACCTTCATAGTTTCAACACCCAGCTCAAAGCTTTCTGGAATCTTTTATTTTTTGTAAACTTTTTTTTCCCCCTTTTGTTAAAATGAATAAAACATTCAATGTTTTCCCCCTTTTCTCTCTTATTACTTCCTTATTTTTCCAATTATTTTGAAGTGCTTTCCTTCGGTTGTTGGTTTTATTCTCCCGCTCCCCTCCCCTGTTCTTATTACTCAGAGTATAAACCTGCAAAGTTCTGCTCTGTTTTGGTTTTGAAAGTTTAAGCTTTTCTGCTTCTGTGAGAGCACAGGCTTCTGTCCCTTTTGATTCCAACTGAACTTTTGTGTTCTCTAATGATACTAACATGGTGTAGGTTTTGCAGTCTCCTAATTTGTACTGGTAATGCATATTCCAAATAAATAGTTTCTTTTGTTGCAAAAAATATATATATACTTGTATTTTGTGTAACTTTCTTCTCTTACGTGCTGGCAACCTTGGCTTCCCCCAAACTAGGGCTGCTGTTAGGGTGAATTAGGTTTACACTGTGGCCCTAATCATTTTAAAGCCCACCTACCAGGGCTGGGGGGGCAAGTGACCTCACGAGACGCTGACCTCACCTATGAAGTCAGAAGGAAGAAAGGGAAGAAGGAGGGATCTTTTATGGGCCATTATTGGCGGACGGGGAGAGCACCCCATCTTGTGTTCTTGCCGGTGACTGGCTGCCCCCCAC